CTGGAGACTCCGCTTCTACTGTAGTCAGGTAGTATATTGCTTCATGATACCCTGCACCTTATGCTTTTTACCATTTCTCCTAGATGAAAGCACTGATCATGTGTTTCATGGGCAAATGATGACCCATCTGAAATTCTAAACATTCAGACATCACCCTTTCACATCAAAGAAAAGAGGGAATTGGAAGGGGGCGTGGGATGTATTAGAATAGAAAGAATAGTACACTATCCTTGAAGTGCATGTCATCAGGGGAATGGAGTTCAGCTTGCTCCCATCAGTCTCTCACCAACGTGGTCATGATTCACTATTGGCAGGAACTGTAATACAATAAGAGCATTGTTGAAGAAAGTGTTAAAAAGGTTTTGCTGTGAATGCGTCTTCGAAGTTGTACCATGATGTCCAGCACCACGTTGGTACATCCTGAGCTTTATTGTTCCCTACCAAGCTGTACCTGTGTATCAATCATGCATATACTTGTTGCATATAGTGAATGATTCGTTGCTCACTTGTGAATACTATTTTTTCTATTGTAAAGAGTATAGGGAGAAAACTTGTAATGTTTTGTGGTTATTGAATGAATTTCTTTTTAATGTATGATTTAAAAAGGATAAACTTGCCGAGTTGAGCAAGAGTTGGAAGTACAAGATTAATTTAGTTTTCAAGAACTGTAAGGGGAAAAAATACAAAACAAAATACAAAATAACAAAAAAAAGAAAAAAATCTCTGGCCATCCCACGAGAGGGGCCTGGGACCAGAGAAGAGGATTGGTGATGTGTCAAAGTAGATGCATAATGTGAATACATGTGTATTTATATTTGTTATTACATATGAATTTTTTTTTATGTAAATGATTTTTATAGAAATGGTATGTTGGGATAAGAAATACTTCTAAAGTATTATTACAATTGTTTGCAGTAGTTTCATTATTATTTTTTACTGTAATATTTTTGTGATTCATAATTACTACTACTCTACAATTGCCATCTATAAATGTTATCTTTGCCATAGGGCTGATCATTGATGTGAATTGTATTATAATTTTTTGTATCTTGAACTGATAGTTTTGTTATTTCATATATATACACATTATTTTATATCCGTATGCATCTGTTTGTGACAAGGTAATACAATTATCTTGGGAATCAGTGAGTTTATAATTGCACAAGAAAAAGTACAAAAAAAAATTGTAAAAATAAAAACCCAAATAAAAATTGCAAAATAATTGGATCTTCACTTTCCAAGTATATGAATTTACATTCCATAAGCATATATATATCCACACAGCCACATACACTACTTCCTATTCATTTCTGGGGAATGCAAACTACCTTATTTTGCAGTAGAAATAATGACATTTTCTGAACTTGGACTCAGGACTTATTGAAGAAAAGACAAACTGACGATGATTAAGTCCCATCTAAACAATCAAACCCTACTTCACAGACATTTGCTTAATTAGCAGGAGTCTGACAGAGAAAAATCACCAGAAATGCTGTCTGCCTATAAATTTGATCAGTTGATACCTGATATGGATAGACCCCCCCGAATTCCATGCTTCTTGTTGCTGTGTGGGGGCTTAGGAGACAGGGACTGGGGCCCAGTGTGGGGGATCACCCTTGCCTTGGACCTCAGCCCTTGCCTCTACTAATTTTGCATGGTTTTTTCTTTTCCACCTTTCCTTTTCCTTCACATCAACCCCTTCTTTCCACAGCCTAAAGTGTGAGAGCCGTGCTAAAAGGATGAAAGGCTGGCTTTGTCATTCCTGCATGGCCTTTGTACTTTATTTGCTATTTTCTCTTTACCCTTTTCACTACTATACTAACCTAAAGTGCTCTACAACCTTTGACATTTAATGTTATTTTTTTCCTAATTGTAAACCCATTTGTAACCTTTTTGTCACAATACTTTTATCATAATTCTGTGTGACCTTTTCATACCTGGGGGCTATACCCCCAAGCCTCGCTCTATGGCTATATTTTATATATGCCACAAATGACCTATATTGATGCGGCAGAAATTTTTCAAAAAAATAAATAGTATGGATAGATAACCCTGCCAAACACTAGCACACCTGTGTGTACTAAACTAACACAGGCTTTGCCCAGGAAACAAAATCCCCCAGACATAGATGTGGATTAGGCTTTAGCAAATGTATTCTGTTTAGCTTCAAGAATCAAACCACTTAGGCTTCTGCCTGGTCTTGGAGCCTGGAAACAAAAGCTGCTGATTTAGCAATTGTTTGAGGAAAAGGGTTGCACATTCAGGGATAGAATAATAAGTTTGGGCCATTTGAGTTTCACCAAAACCAGACTGGTTAAACAAGAGAAAAATAAGCATTCATTAGTTCGCACATTTGCATAAAGAATTATTCTGTCCGAAATTTCTTGTAAGCTCATTTGTTGTTTTCCTGACTCTGCTTTCATCAGTGGATAAAGAAAACTTTTATTGTGCTCCAACTAATAATGATTGCTAAAAAGACTGAATATTAGGTTACTAGGTAACTGCTGCAGTCCATACAACTTTTGCTTGGTTTGGTAGAGTTTTACATAAGAATTTTAAAAAAATCATATTGCATTTATCATTTTCAAGAATGAACATTGCTGGATGACTTCATATTGTATTAGACATAGTTATGATCCATGAGAAGCATTAGTAATTGTGTACCAGGAAAGTTTGTATAAAACTTTAAATGTTGAATAGGATATTTAGTCACATTAAAATTGCAGGTAAGTTCAAAAGTTGCAGATACTCCAGTTATCCCCTCTATATTGCAGGAATTTGAAATGGAACCACAAAGTTGTTCCAGCATACTCACAGGAAAGTTCCCCTTGAAGGAATGGTTTGATAAGAAAAGACTTTAGCTTAGCAAGATTAAGATCAAAAGATCTCATTGGACCACTTTTGAAAGCAATCTCTACCATTGAAACACGCACATTATCATACCTTTTTAATCCATGGAATGCAAGCAACAATTCAGGCTGAGGAGCATCCAGCTGCAAGCCAGAGCTCTTGATATTACTATTTTAATTAGTATGAACTTTACTTTCCACATTCTACCCTTAATATCAATGTTGACCCCCCAATCACTTGCTTCTTGTTGCTGTTGGGGGCTTATAGGAGACCAACTGAGGCCCAGTGTAGAGGATCACCCCTACCTTGAACCTGAGCCCTCGCCTCAACTAATTTTGTATGGTCTTTTCTTCTCCCCTTTCCTTTTCCTTCTCTTTTTCATCCCCTTCTGTCCACATCCTAAGGCATGAGAGCTGTGCTGTGTTCTTCATGCTCTTACCTCTTTACCCTTTTTGCTACCATAGTAACCTCCAACACTCTAACATGTTTTATCCTAATCATGAAATCATTTTTAACGTTTCTGCCATAATACTTTATCATAGTGCTGTAAGACTGATGTCAGGGACATTAATTTGTTTCAACCCTTAACCGGAATTCTCGGAATCCATAAACATTACCTTATAAACAAAAAAACTTCCTTAACCAATAAATAAATAAATAAATATCAATGTTCAGGAAATACAAGCAAAGATAATTTTTTGTGATTATTGCACACTGCAGGGAGAGATTACGTGTCCTAATCAGACTAATAATTCCAAATTCCTGCCATATAATATCAAATCATTACCCGATATTTACCAAGCTTTGCTTTATTAAGACAAATAAAAATAAAATTCTATCAGCTTGTCTTGAAACCTCTTCAATATCCTCTTTCCAAGAATCTTCTAAAGAAATGTACCCCTGTGACATCATTTCTTCAAGCTAATGCTGCTGTTTCCTCTAGTAGTTAAAGAGCCAATAAACTGAAAAGACAATCAATAAATCAAATACTTACTGTAAACAAATATTTTCCTGTAACCAAACAGTTTTAATAATTGCACGATACGTATATAACACATTGATAAGGGAAAAATAAAAGAGGCAGGTATTCTTTATAAATAAATAAATTTTTTAATGTGTTAACATATATTTAACGCTTAGTTCAATATTTTCCAGGTACCAAACCCTGAAAAATGATAACAGCAAAGCAAAATCATACAGCAAAGGCAGAAATGTATCTTGGGATGCCCAGCAGCAAATGCACAAAATAAAAAAGATAAAAGTACAAAAATAAACTTCATGGTGCTTCTTATCATAAACACCTTTGAGTGCAAGTAAGAGAGAGAGAAAAAGAGACAGAGAGAGAAAAAAGGGAGACAGAAAGAGAGAAAAGGGAGAGAGTTAGAAAAAAAGGAGAGAGAGATAGAGAAAATGGGGAGAAGGAGAGAGAGAGAGAGAAAAGGGGAGGGAGAAAAGAGAGAAAAAAAAAGAGAAAGGGGGAGGGAGAAAGAGAGAGAGAGAAAAGGAGGGAGAGAAAGAGAGAGAGAGAGAAAAAGACCGAGAGAGAGAGAAGAGAGGTCGAGAGAAAGAGAGTAGAGAGAGAGAAAGAGGAAAGGAGAGAGAGAGAAAGAGAGAGAGAGAGAGAGGAGAGAGAGAGAGAGAGAGAGAGAGAGAGAGAGAGAGAGAGAGAGAGAGAGAGAGAGAGAGAGAGAGAGAGAGAGAGAGAGAGAGAGAGAGAGAGAGAGAGAGAGAGAGAGAGAGAAGAGAGAGAGAGAGAGAGAGAGAGAGACAGAAGAGAGAGGAGAGAGAGAGAGAGACAGAGAGAGACAGAAAGAGAGACAGAGAGAGACAGAGAGAAGAGAGGAGAGAGAGAGAGAGAGAGAGAGAGAGAGAGAGAGAGAGAGAGAGAGAGAGAGAGAGAGAGAGAGAGAGAGAGAGAGAGAGAGAGAGAGAGAGAGAGAGAGAGAGAGAGAGAGAGAGAGTGAGAGAGAGTGAGAGAGAGTGAGAGAGAGTGAGAGAGTGAGAAAGAAGTGAGAGAGAGTGAGAAAGAGTGAGAAGAGTGAGAAGAGAGTGAGAGAGAGTGAGAGAGAGTGAGAGAGAGAGTGAGAGAGAGTGAGAGAGTGAGAGAGAGTGAGAGTGAGAGAGTGAGAGTGAGAGTGAGAGTGAGAGTGAGAGTGAGAGTGAGAGTGAGAGTGAGAGTGAGAGTGAGATGAGAGTGAGAGTGAGTGAGTGAGTGAGTGTGAGTGTGTGAGTGTGTGTGTAAGATTGTGAGTGAGTGTACAAAGTTTGAGCAAGATACACATTAGTGGATTCCTTCACATGATCACTGCTATCAATATACTTCCATGACATTAAAAAAAATCTTTTTATTTATTCATAAAAACACTGAAAGTCAAAATCTATTCATTCAATTTAAAAAAAATCCCTGTACTTCCATTCTCTCCCTTATCTATCAATAAATTTATAAATCTCTACATTCACATAATGACAACATACATGTTTCCCTCTTTAATTTTTATAAAATAAAGCAACACTACTAGGTTTCTTCGAGCAGTGTTCATTCTGTCAAAAAATTAAGAAATTAAATTTATGCTCTCACCTTTACTTGCAGTTTTCAAGTACTTGTTAAATTCATAAGGTGTCTGGAAAAGGCTGTACAATCATATAATGAATAACAAAACATTTGTTATAGTATTCATTGTTTTATATATATTAAAATAAATAGCTATCCATATACATCAAAATATAATCATGGATTAAACATTTGCCCCTTTATATTAATCATGTTTATGAAAGGAGGATGTTCACAGGATAAGAGGGAATAACTACTGGATAGTGTAAAGTTTCTATATTCATTGAGATCAGTGATTAGGCGCTCTTTGAGATCCTCTAGAATGAATATTTTTTTTATGGAGTGTTCTATATTTGGTTCGCTTGGTTCTGGCACAATACGAGGGGTGCCTGAATTGGTAGTGTATTTTGAACTGGATACACTTGGGGTTATTTCTGCAGCTTCCATACCTGATGTGTTGCCTCCAAGACCTCTTTCAACAGTTTCACTCAAAGATGAAAATCTGGGCCCACCTTCTTTCTTTATTGTTTTGGGTTTTTCTGTATCTTCTATTATTCCCTCCTCTTGTGGTAATTCCTCTTCTTTGACCTCTTTTTCGTGACTCAAATCACTTTCCTTCACCTTGACATTATGGCTACCATTTTTCTCACTCTCTACACTAACATGCACAATATCATCAGCCATTTCCTCATTTTCTTCTGTATCGAATGCCTTTTTTACTGCATCAACAACAGACTTTTTGTCAACTGGAATCTTCTCAATGTCAACTTCCACTTCTACAGTTGAGCCAGAGTCTTCAGCATCAGTCTCAGGTGCTTTATTGTCATCCTGAATATCCTTACCAGGGGTGGATTCCTTTACCATTAGAACAGTCTCTAATTCACCTTCTGATTCTGGTTGTGATTCCTCTTTCTCTAAGTCTTTACTCTTCTCCTTTTCACTGCACTCCTCTTCATTTTTCACACTCCTGGGGGGTTTCATCTTATGCCCAACATGTTTCTTCCAAGGTGCTGCTGGATCCAAAATCAATGCAACTTGGTCTGCTACAGAGAGGGACCAATCATCCTCTTTTGTGAAACAGCAAGCAAGAGCACCTGGGTCAATTGGATGAGCCTCTGTGTAAAGAGAAAGCAAATTGTGTGAAAACATTATCAAGAAAAGGGAATAAGTATTTTCTAAAGTAGTTCTCAAACCATTGTAAGACAAAAAAGTGAGTAAATAAAGTTCATAATACTGTCAGCCCATTGGATCTGGGTGATGTGGACATCACATCATAAAAAAATTGAGCTGAGTGGTGGGTGATGTGTGTGTCATCATGGATATATCTGGCTAGGGACAGGGTAATAGGAACATGTTGTCATGAAATACTGTTGCCAAGTGGCAGGTAATTGGGATGTCTCATTGTGAGTGCACAAAGCTCTTTAAGGGAGATTAGATTCAGCTGGACTTTAGGAAGGATTTCTTGCATTATTTTCACTGGTAAATGAGGGTGGAATGTACCATCTGTAGGCTAGAGCACCAGCTTCAGTGAGAGGATTATTCCCATGCACAGTAGCCTATTCCTGCCTGTCTTGACTAGCAGTGCATGATGTTACAGAAAACTGAATATTACAAAAATATTTAAAAATAATGCAAGTAACAATGTGACAAATATAGACCTTAGAAAATAGCAAAACAGCATATGCATAATAAGAGCTAATAGCACAGCAAAGAGGAGGCAAGGAGTCAATTCCGCACATGAGTGTTCATGTGGGCCTGAGCCTGCAAGACACATCCAGGAGAGTCACCACACAAGTTACCCCAATGCCTGGATTTTGGTCTGTGTGAGCTGTGAAGCACCCGGATCCAATGGGTGAAATTAAAACAATTACATATTAATTACATATCTTCCATTAAAATATTAAGAAAATAATTTTGGAACTTTTAGAGTATTTGATTTATTTTCATATATAACCAAAAGGCACATCATATGTGTTATACCCATTTCAGTGTTTCATCTACATTATCTTTAATATATCAGCTTTAAAATGTAATAAAATGCTCTCTATCAATGAGTTAATGAAGTTAGTTAAAATCTCTTTGGGACAAGAAATTATATGACACTGCTAAACTACATTCAATTAGTTTATATTAGAAACTGAAGCTTTGAATATATTCTTTTTAATGCCCTATTGTACGAAAAATGCTTGAACATATATTTTCTAATGATAAAAATAAGTACATAAAATATACTTCTATTTAGTCTACTTTATCTTAATCTTACCTGTATTGAAAATATAGCCTCCACCTTCAACAATGCATTCTCTTTCACCAACTCTGTGCACTTGACCTCTTTCTCCTGCATTGTGAATCCAGTTTTCAGTGTCAAATAACAGGAACAAGTATTTTGTTGTTTCAGCAAGGAAAAAGCTTTCCATACGATTCTCCAAAGTGTGGTCGTTTACATTTTTCACCTGGAAGGAGGATGGCAAATGCTCATTTATATATATTTGCATATGTATATAAATACCTGGATTCATTTTGCAAACTCATTAATAACTAAAAAGGTAACAAGAATAGGTAGAGAAAAAGAGAGCTGTGCTGAAGCCACAAGAATAATTAGGATAAAAAAATGGAGTTACATCATGAACAGTCTGAAAAAATCAGTTCAGAATGTGATCTTATTTATGAGAATGCATAATTCCCATCAAAATATTCCACATTTTGTTTCTACATTCAATCTCAAATTACCTTATACTCTAGTCCTCTATTTACAACTGGCGACTTTCATTTAAACCTAATCAAAATTTCCTCTAACAGTGTACAATCAGTTTGACAGATAGACTTGAATTTAATTTGAATGACAATACTAAATAAATTGAGATATAGAAAAATAATTTACTTTCCACATTTAATTTTGCATAAAAAAAACACTAGCCAGTGAAATTCAATACTGCTGAGACTTTCATGTGATTTTTACATACAGCCTTATTTCATGTAAATGCCTTCCTATTACCACTATCTTCTTTGTATAATTGAATAAGCATAATCTAGATCTTGGACACCAAGACCAATACTAAACTGCACTATCATACAATGCCAAGAAGTCATATATTAAAGTAGAGACTGACAGGACCACTGTCAGTTTAGTGCTACATATTCTGAAGTAATTCCTACAGTATATGGGTTAAGATCCCTAACTCAGTGCTATATCCAAATTACTTCTGTCATTTACATGCACATCATGGAATACTAGCTAAAAAGGCAGTGTACATCAACTTCCAGGACTATCGCAGGATGTTTTCAATTAATAACTCTGAACCCACTCTATCAAAATTATTGATAATGTATTTATGCTTAATTACTAATATTCAGATAACTGCAGTCAACAACAATGGTAAACCTGAAGTTCACATATTTTCCATATATTCTCATATTTCTCAGGGGTTATCTTACCGTAGCATAACCGCATTCAGTACGGGCAGTATGCTGAATGCTTGCCACAAGATCTGCACCCATCTGAAGAACGGTTTCATCCTTTGTAGCTCTATATAAATACATCAATGACTCCACTAACTCTGGTCGCAGTGGATAACCTTCACGGTTGACTGATGCTTCAGCCTGGAATATTAATGTTACAATTGATTATTTCTCAGTACAGGCTACAAATATATATAGTGGTTCATACCTAAGGTATATAAACATGCATTTCATTTCTAATAATTTTTTCTATATCAAACTCTCACCCTTGGAATGTTGTAGAATTCTGGAGTAAAGCCAAACTGCTTCCAAACTTGATGGTAATTGAATACAATCTTGAGGGCTGAATTTACATCACCTGCAAAATATTGATTTTTATCTTCAATTTTATAAAAATTAAATCATAAGACTAAATAATTACCTCCAGTAGTATTGCATTGAGTAATTGCATATATAAGGAGAATACAAGGTACATGGATGAAAAACAGTAAGGTATATGGTAAGGCTGAAATAATATAATTAGAGATGAAAAGGAAAGATCTGGAATGGATATAATAAATTCCTTGAAAGGAAAAAACAGAGAGAGAGAAAAAAATAAACCCAAAGTGGTCAAATTATGGATGAAAGAAGGAGGAAACAGAGAGAAAGAAGAAGAGAGAAGAGGAAAAAATCCACAAACGTACAAAAAACAAAGCCTTCCTTACCCACTAGAGACAGGACACCTGGCCAATATGCTTCAAGAGACTGAAAAACTGCCATTGTCACATGCCCTTTTGTCATTGTGGCCCACAAATACCAGTCGTCATGGCGTAGATGCTTATCTGCTGCAATTCTTGCTTGGTTAAATATTGCCATTAGTTCTGGTCTTTGAAGAAGAGTTGCTCCTTTCACAAGATATTCGAAGTAAGAATCTATGCCGGCTCCTGGAAGGTGATTATCATAGCACTTGCTTCATTTCTTGTGTAATGTTTGAAAAACACTAAAGGTATAATCATTGTGTTATATACTTTATATATACCTTCATTTTTTATTTATTTATCAATCACTGAAGAACAACTAAAAATATGTAACTTGTGTTAAATAATGATAACAGAAATGCATATCTGAAATTTTACCTAGTAACTGTATAGTGTTAGTATTGTTTGCAGATTTGCTATATATTACTCTTCACAGATAATACTGATTACAGCAACATATTCCATTTATGATTTCCATAGCAAATGGAAATCTATATAATTCCCCCCCAAAAAATTCATTTCAACTATGATTTTTATAACACATGAGTCATCTCACTTACTTCACCACCATTCATGATACTGTAATGATTTATTTTCAATAAATAAAAGAGAAAAAGAAAAATGAAAAAGTAGCATCTCCTCATACAGGTTTGCTGGCTACTCCAAGTACTCCTAAAAATTACAAATGTACCCTAGGTGAAAAAGCAAGAAAACCATACCTATCCCAGAATCCTGTGCTGTCCATCTTCCTGTTGAGACATCAACATGGTTGCCTAAAAGGTCAATTGCAGACCTATGATCCCACACAGCATGTAGTGCACGCAAAGCCACCTAAAAGTATTTTAGTCTTTTCAGTCTGTAAATCATTTTCAATGTATCTCCATTAAACCACTAGTATAAATTCTTAAACACAAATAATCTAGCTTATAAATAGGCACATTCACATATTGTAATAAAATTTCTTTATCATAATAACTCTATCTTGTAACATATGCATTTGTTGTAATCCCTTTTTGCAAATTAGATTTTTATCTGCATACAAATGAATTTCGTAATTTACGAAACACTGCATCAGTCGTGAGACATTTTATATTGAAACTGCCTTGTATATCAAAAATATCTACTCTATACAGATATTTTCATCCTGAAACTGATCTTAAATCTATATTGTATTCAACCTAATATCCATAAAGATTATGGCCAATTATAAATTTTCTCATCTCGTTTAGGGGGCAGAGCTTAGTTGCCAGAGGAGCACAAAAAAAATGAATAATAAAGATCAATATTTGCTCCTCACTCACCACAAAATGGAAAATAATATAAAACATACAACTACAAAATTTTATAAAGCCAAAACCAAAATATAAACTTAAATTACCTCTTCATACACAGGATCACCAGTAAGTCTGGACAAGGCACCAAATTCTACAATGTATGTCCCAACCCCAGCTGTACATGTTACAGTGGTTTCTCCTTCTGGCACTCCATCTTTCAAGTTCACTGTTCCATAAGGCATTCCTGCAAATCAGATAAACAGTGAAATATCAAAAATAAAAACCAGTCAAAAATTACTGAATAAATTTAAACTTGAGTAATATGATGTACAGAATCTAACCAAAACTTAAAAAGAATTGTTCCTTGTATTACTTCTAAGTAAAAATTTGAAGAATGCTGTAAAGATGAGGAATGAATTTAAAGACTACAAGAGGCAATCTAACATGATCCCTTGCATTATAATCCAACTTTAGTATAGAGGTAAAAACTACTTTTTCCTCCTAAAATGAACTTGAAATCTTCTGTATACCTCTTACATCATTGCTATATACCTAGCAATATAAGGGAACTCAAAAGATTTACTTAGAACAAAATCAACATGACAGCACCTCCATCTCTACCATATGACTAGGCTGCATATATAAAATACTAAGAAACTAAATTCTGGGTTATCCATCAACAAGCCACAGCTTCTTCTATTTTGATAATACTTAGAATCTAGTGTGCCTGACATTTCCTTTTTTTTGACAGTTAACAAAATTCTTAGAGAAACTGTTACCTATATTTTCTTTGATAATTAAAATGCCTAATATTCATATTCATATTATAGGAAAAGACATTCAAAGTCAAAGTAATTTCTTAACATGCATCTATGGGCTAAAAGAACGCATACAGCTTGTCTAAGGCACTAGTAATACCTTGAACAATTCAAGTTGTTTATGAGATTTCATTACAAAGGAAAAAAATTATTACAGAGGGACACACATATTTGACTATTCAACTTTTCCTCTATTAAATTATATGTATACTATCATTCATTTTGATAAGTCAAACACATCCAAATGAAAAACAGAGTAATTCTGTAACATATACATCAAATAATAGCTTAGTCTAAAGTACAGTATACCTTACCTGTAGGGGTGTCGAAAGCTGGTAAAAGTCTGTCTGCCATATCTTTGGCCATTCTTAAAAGTGGTCCTTTACATGGCCATCCTGGTTCTACATCAACACCCATCCTACAAGATAACAAAATTATCAGCACATGCACTTGGAACCACAAATATATCTTTACACTCATGTACATAAACACACACAAAAAAATGCTATGTATAACAAACAAACAAATTTCTAGATTAATAAAAAAATATATATATAAAAAAAAAAAAAAATCTATGATAAATGTGCTATCATTTTCAAAACCCTGTCTGTTAACAATAAATAATATGATAATATTCAAATGAATAATGATGATGACCCGAAGATTATCATATACAGAAAAGGTATAAAAAATAAATACCCATAAAGAGGTATTTACAAATATGTTGTCATCAAATCTTTATCATAATAATATATAAAAGCAAGACTAATACAAAGCATATATACTAGTCAGACCTGAGGATTCACCTTACTTCCATGAACCATCTACTCATTACCAAACATGCCTGACATTGCCACAGCCTTGAAAAATTTTAAGCAGCCTGAGACAGTGCTCATATTTTTCACCATGATGTATGAAGCTTCCATTATTGTCATAATCATCTTTTTCTTTTTTTAACAATTCTTCCTGAATAACTTTTCCTACTTTCCAAATGGGTAACTATCCTGATTCATATACATGCAATAACATAGTTAAAAGTTCTGCAGTGGTGAACATCTCAATATTCACTGATTCTAAAGTCTATGTCCTGTTTCACCATAATAAATTCTGTTGCAGCTATTGCACTGTATAACTACAGTATACTGTACAGCACTGTTGGAATTACTTGTTTTGCATTAGGAAAATCATCTTAACAAATTAATACTGTATAAATTTTGTTTCTTGTCTATATCATTTTGATGAAAATTCAATCCAAACACAAAAACAACATTGTGGATATGAATCTTCATTTCTATCTTTCCTACAGTCATCACAATAAACTTACTTATATACAAAATCTGCAAAAATGAATAAGATCCTAGAGTATTTGTTTAAATAAATTATGATTATTAATTTTTTTTTGATGATTTCATAATGCAAATGCAGTCGAGTAGCATGATAAACACATTTCAACAAACAAGCTAGAATAATAATAAGAAAACAAGTAATGCAATGAATATACAACTTCCACTAAAGCAAATGCTACTCACTTTCTTGACATGAGGTGAGCACTGAGCAGACCACCTACAATCCTAATGTTTGTTTCAAAGACAGAAACATTAATGTCAACATCAAAGTTGGCCTTTTGTGTGATGAGATGGGCAACCCTCTGGAACTCTGTCTTGTTCCCCATCACTGCTAGAGTGTCTAGGGCATCAATGAGTGTGAGGGAGTAACTGAAAAACAGATCACACAATTGATTAAACTTACATGGCACATTATTCACTAATTTGTCAAACCCTTTTGATCATAATATCTTAAAATCAAAATTATATTCAACTGATTTAAAGTCAACTTTTGCCAATTAAGGAATTACCTGCCCCAGGTATCATGTCCATCACAGGACAGTGGTCGCAGCTCATCATATGGATAGGCATACTTCATGTACCCATCATAAGCATGATAAAACATGCCTCGCACCTCTTCCCTGGAAAAAAGCTTTCATGTTATACTGTCCATAAGAAGATCTAGAACTAATAAATAAAAAATAAAAAACAGAAAACCTTATGTCTCTATATGCTTCCTGAATATCTTAGTTATAATTACCACAATGAGTTAACAACAGTTTGAAAAGACAGATATGTAACAATTTACACACACTTATCCATCCAACTTTATTTCCCAAATTTAGATGATTCAACTTGGGGAAAAAAGCAGTCTGGATCTAAAAAGCTAGACTCATACCTCCAATACATGATTACTACTTTTCTTAGACCTAACACTTTTAGAATAATAAAACACAGTTTCATTCATACATTTAGATTTGGGCTTTTCCCATGCCATTACTTTATGCAGAAAAAAACACATTTTACAGAACAATATATGGATTGAGCACACCTGTAATTTATAACATAATCAAGACCACCCTGGAAATTAGGACATGAATCATGAAAGAAAATTATCAACCAAAAGCTGGATATCAAGTAAAAATATTTGTTTTGGTAAAAAAGACTTTAGTAAAAAAAATCTAGCTGGAAGTTTCTTCTACTGTACCATACCATCGCAGTTTAACAAAACACATAAAGTTACACTTTTTATCATGTGTACCTCTTTAGTCAAATTTCAGTCCTCCTATGCTGTGTTCAGAACTTGTCTTGCTCGCCCAACTTGTCAGGACCAGCAGGACAACGAGGCCACGTTCAGAACCTCCAAGACCCTCACTTCCCAGAATGCAACCAGTTTGAAAGTAAACATTCACTATTTTATCGTACCACTGTCTTTATTATACATCCTACATAGGTTTTGCAACTCTTTTGATGTATAATTAACTTACATGCAACTGACAAACACAAAAATATCCTTTGATAACATCAATAAAGGAAAATAAAGTCACCTATCAATATCTTATGGTTGCCTGCAACTGTCATTGTTTACATACAAATGCTATTGTGATGTCATCTCGTCCTGCTCACCCTGTTGGGAAGGAGAGCAAGATGGGCAAGATGGACAACTTGTCCAGGATGAGAAAGTAGTGGTTCCGAACGGTCTAACATCTTGTCCAACTTGTCTGGACGTGCAAGATGAAGAGTTCTGAACACAGCACTAGGTTATATAACTTCTTTCAGTACTTCATTCCTACCAAGGTAAACAGAGGTGTGACTATGGGCAATATTCACAAAGAAAGACATTATCTTGCATATAACAATCAAAATACTTGTAAGATAAAATGGCCAAAAATGACCAACACTGCATAATCTACATATCTATAATTAAGGTAAATAATGCACAGGATAACCAGTACCAGGAAAAAATGGTTAGTTTGCACAAGAACATTTGAAATTTTGCCCTTTATCAGAGATCTTGTCAAAATGCTAATATCACTAAAACTGGTACCAAATAAGTGAGAGATTTAATGACTTCAAATTTCAGCATTCTTTCCTACACAATTTTTCAAACATGTAATTACACCTTACTTACAACAGTAATTACGCACAAATCACTGTCATAATTACAATTTCAGATATGCATATAGCCTTAGTATCAGGTAAATAGTAAATCATAGGAGAGTCTTAATTTGCATAATACCTGCAAAAGTCATCATAGTTAATAGTTTTTTTTCTGGTTTTCCAAATATAAATGAGAGTATAGGTAATTGTTTATAAAGTGACCTCAAAGTCCGTATTGCTCCAGCCATTCCTGGAAAATCCACAAACATCACTATATGAACCAAAAACATTCCTAACCTGGGGGCTTCATCCCCAGACCCCACTCTTTTGCCATGGACTCCACACCACATAAATCACACCCATTTTCTTCATTTCTAATGTTATTGTTTGGCTGCACAGATTAATTCAAATATGAGTGAGTATAATTTTTCTCTATCTTTGTGATATTGTCTTTACATTGGGTGTCTTTACAGTATGGACACAATCGCCAGAGACTAAGTTCCCAACTTCATGTCAAAAAAATTATTCATCAATCTAAGTAACCGTGAGTGGGCATGCCCAAAGGGGAGGGTTGAAAGGGGGCTCTGCCCCCTAAAACCTCCAGGGAAACATTATCTTCACCTCAGAATGCAAGCAAGATAGACCTGAAACTCAAGAGCGCAGAGTGGACTTAAACTGTGAGCAGCGCTTCCTGTGATCCTTTTTCTTCATTTGTGGTGTTTGCTTTCGAATCTGCATATAATTTATTGTACCAACGACTGCAACTTTTTGTCCTCTACAAGAATATCATAATCAATTTGCTCTAACTTAGTACATTCTCCAGTAAATGTGCATCAAAGTATTACCACTTAATATTACCGAGTGACACACAGAGATAAAGGGAAATGAACACCGCTATCTTATACAGCTTAAGAAATAGTCATAAACAACGCAGGTACAGCTCAGACTATAGAGTATTTTTCTTGCACAGGGAATATCATATTTTTTTACATGCGGAAAACATAATTTTGTCTATATCTGTGCGGAAATTTAACAATTCTTTTTTGTATATCTATCAAGAAGATAGGGTTAATATTATGTCAGGGTTATCAATATTGTATTAGGACTCAGTTGTTAACAGAACTGAGCCTTTGTGGAAATCATGTAATGCTTTGCAGGAGATTCCCGGCATAGTAAAATTGTATTCATCCTTGATTGGCACATTGGCATTCACTTTCACTTTCATATCTTAAATTCAAACAAACAAACAGGTTGATTATATGAAACTATTGTTTATCTGTGCAGAGCTAATCTGCGGACAGATGATAAAACAAGTGCGGGGAAAGGTCAAAAGAATTTTACGTGTGGAAAATTATTTAAAAAAGAACTAAGCGTGCGCAGAAAGTTACCCGAGAACTAAATTTGCGTGGACAGAATAATTAGCCAAATATCATTTTGACAAGCGCGTATTGATACACGGACTAGTTCGAGAACACAAAAATGCGTTCGTGGGTCAGTATTGTATTTTTCTTCGCAAGGTAAAGATGCTTATCGACTTTGAATTTGAAAGGTGCCCACACATTATATTTTCGTCATTTAGTGGTAAATGTAAGGCCTGCGCATCTTAAACTATGTTCTATCCCCTTCTCCTTTTTCCGCTCTATAATATGACGGTGTCCATTTCCCTCTATCTACCGCGTCCCTATAAGTAATTTATTCCCAACTTTCTAATTATCAACCTGCGAAGATAATAACATATATGAATAGTGTCATACTTTCTGTCCTTCTATTCATTATGGGTATTTATATTTTATTCATTTAAGTTTTCCTTAGATGAGATTCATACATAATACAATATGAAAAATTGAAAAAAGGAATAACAACTACAAGGTTGGATGAGTGTGTGAAATTTACCCGTTATCTCGTCACCACTGGTTTCGACATACGTAAGTTACTGTGATGGGTAAACATAATCAGTCCACCAGTACCTTAGAATCTGTGGAGCAAAGCCTTTTTTATTGATCAACGTTTTTATTACGATTCTGCAAAAAACTGTCAAGGTAATATCTACGAATATCGACAGGAAATTAGGATGGCTTATTGAGAATTTCTCTCTTCCTATTTGGGCAAAGCAGGTCAGAAACCCAGTAAATCTAATATTTCGATTTTTGTCATTACATACCTTAATTTCCATATTTCTTTGTCTGTCAAACTGTTTGACAAAGAAACACAGAAACATATTTGCAAAAGATGTAAGCCTATGCCCTTCATCACCCTAAAGGAAATGTCAAATTTCCCTTTTTATATCCAGCTTGAGTAATTGTATATTATCTCTTGCTAATATTTACCATATTAAAGAATGTATAAAACAGATTATATATTTTTTATCAGAAATGTATAACTTTGT